TTGTGTCCTTCCCTTTATTTGAGTAGGCAAATAATGTCTGAATTTACTCTGTCATCTGGTTTTACGATAATAGTATTAGTATTACTTTTAATAACCATTTTGTGAACAGTTTGCTGAGTGAGGTAATTAAAAAGTAAACTAACTATGGGAAAGCAGACAGTTGCACGTATTCAGAAAGCTTTAACGGGGAACCAGTGCAAGATTTTCATTACGATAAGGTGTTTTAGTATGACGAATGACTGAACGTGTGGAAAACACCAGATCCTACTGATTAATTTCACGAATGATCATGATGGATTGTCCCATTTTCATGTGCGATCATCAACTCATTCTGTTTGAGAGTTATTCGTTTTCATGACCCGATTATGTAATAAAACAGATAGCTCACTGATCGATGCATGACGGTATGTACACATGTAAACATTAACACTTAGGTGCAGTTTGAAAAAATAAAATACACAAAATCTCTGCGATTGTAATGGTCTAATCAATTACATGTTTTAATTAATTTTCGAAACGACAATCATACCCAAGAAAGGAATGTTTTATGCTGATAAAACGGTCATTAGGCTCTTATCAGACCAAGGAGGTTCTGTTTAGAATAAAACTTCCTTGATTAGACATGGAACATTTTTCTACAACCATCAGGTAGTATATCAATGATTCTATATTTTCTGATGCCGATAACGCCACATGAAATACGTACTATTATGAAAACAGTTATTCAAACAACAGGATATATCTTTAAAACTGTTAGAAGTTTCCAGTAGCACCCACTACCTTTCTTCAGTGACTATCTATTCAAATTTGTAATTGACAGGTATTATCGACAGAAATTTATATTAAAACTATTTATCCAAAAGCAATTATTTATTGTTATTTGTTATTAAGGTTTTATAATATTTCCCATCAACCCTGTACCGGACGGCGGGTGATGTTGACTTCCAGGCACCTTTGACCCACTCCTGATGTCACAAAGTCTTGCCGTGTCACAGGATAACGCCATGGTGGTGCCGTGTGAGGTCACTGATTTTAGAAGAAGAACTTTATTACACGTGGTACATAAAGAGAGTAACAACAATAAAATACGTGTGTTGAACAAGACCTAATGTCGAATAAAACCTAAAAAATCTATATCATAATTATTCAAATAATATGAGATAGCACAAGTCTTTGATGAATTGTTACAATCGAGTGGGCTAATCACAAGTTTCGGATTTTTTTCTAATAACATAGCATTCCTTTATATATCTACCTCTTTTTGCGTTGTGGGGACCATTACCTGTAAAGATATATTCAAATCTGACTCTAGCATCGAGACTCTTGAAGTCTATTGTTCTTGATTCAAGAAATGTAAATAGCTTGTTACGTATAACATCATATTTGGTACATTCCCTAACAAAATGAAATTCATTTTCTATATGCTTTGGACAAAATGGACAGAACCTTTGGTCAGGGGCTATATTGTAGTATCTACCTGTTTCAATATTCAATTTATGGCTACTGATTCTTAATTGAGTTGTTGCTTTACGAATTTCAAAGTTATCTATATCACAAAGGTATGTTTCTTGTTCATAACAGTTTTATAATTTGCTAAGAAAAGACAGCTTGGAATTATTTCTAATGCAGCTAAACCACACTTGTATATGTGTATCTTGTAGCCGATGGCGAAGATGGTGTGTAATATAATCTGTTTTATAACCTGATGCCGCAGGTCTAGACGTCTACGTAGAAATGCGGGTCCAGTTCATGCGGTTTGTCGGTATCTTCCAGTATTCAGATTTAGGGATACACTCGCTATGTCCCCAGTAGATTCAATAGATACTGTTGCTGATGAAACGAGGTGGTCATTGGATGTTTCAATATGTTTGTAGCGCATTATGGGCTGTGGCATGCTCTACAAAGGTACGGTTATCCTACTACACACAAGGAATGCATCCGGGGATGAACTGCTGCATAATGTGGCCACGTTCCTTATTATGATGTAAAATCCCTATAGCTGACGAATTAGAGATTGATTTTCTTGTTCACGTCCATTAATCCACTTCATGTCGGCAGCATAATTAGGCCGATGTGGAGCCTGATCTATCACCCTAACCTCTCTGTCGTTTTGAGTCAGGTTTTTTTACAAACCTGAGACTCCGCGGACACAAGACAAGGTGAACGTGAGATGCTGATGTCCATCCCGCTCGTGATGACAAAGCATCACAATGAATCGTGCAAATGTTTGGGGATGGTTTATACATGTCAAATCATCAAGTGGCATCGTAATTTCAGGCTTCATTACTCCAGGCGCTATCCGGGAAGGGAAACCATAAATTTCAGACGATCATTACAACAATCCTGCAACGTTACAGTCAGTTCAACTTGTGGGCGGCATTGTCTCCTATCCCGTGTGGCGCAAAATGCCGCAGTCATCTGATCCAACAAACCTGGTGACATCTTCACACACACGATCCTGGCTTCAAAGGCATCTACTACAATTTCAGGGTAGCAAATTACAAAGATATTCTCGACAAAGAATCTGTGTGATATTAACATTTACTGTTTTTCTTATTACATTTTCATCATCATCTTATATACTTGAAGAATTTGAAATAGCCCTAAAACAAGTCACATGAAGAGTCCTGTTCTTTGTCTCCATCAATTAATATCTTGAACCAGCCTACGATACGCAACAAGAAACAGTTTTCTATCAGAGACATCGCATTTTTACCCTACAGATATCAGTATGCTATGGGATGGGATTGATTCAGCTTACTACAGTAAATGAATGACCACAAAATCCAGTTTTGCCCTCCTGAAATTTTATTGGATGACTGTAATGTATGTACGCTCCCGGTGTGCCATGATCGTAGCTTAGGTATTCTAAACCTCACAAACACCATCATGCCAGGTTATCTAATCACTCGTAGTTATTACCACCATTCTTTTATTAGTTCATACTCGGTGGTATGCGACATATGTCATCATCATCCCATCCGATATATGTAATATAGTGTCAACTTCTCATACAGCATCAATTGAAATTACTGATCTCTTCTTAAAATAGCTGGTGATTGGCGGAGACAACCTACACCTCACTGCTACAATGTGCCTATTGCTCTTGTGAAATAATGATGATGTAAAATAACCCAGCCGGGAATTGTACCTGACGGAGGCATGCGCGTGCCATTTCCCAATGACATTGATGAACAACTTCAAACAGAAGACCAGAACAATATAATGCATTCTATACCTCCGGGGACTATGATATTGCTATCGTATAAACCCGACGCCTCTTGACTTAACACAATTACAACATCCATTATCTGCGAGGTCACCAAGGAATTGTTTAAGTAGTGTAAACCGTGAATACGGCACTTCTGCACTGACAGACTGCCACAGATTATACGAGAATCTATTTGGGAGATAAGTAACATAGACTGTAAGAAAGATCTGCCAGCTTACCTGATCAATGTAGTTGGTATTAATGTAAGAAAAACTCAGGATTAGGGACTACCCTTACCTAGAGTGGCGTGTATCGGCGATGCATCATTATGGCTCCGCCCTATTCTACAATAAACCACCTCGGTAGGTTCAGGCAGGTTCTGAGAAGCTCCTAGCGGCCCCGCAGATCCAGTAACATGCCTGACTCCTGCATCACTGCTGCCGCTTCTGCACAGTGGAACACATCGGTACCAGATATCGTGTCCTTGGGAAGGGTTTGGAATTCAGAATTCAACGCTCCTTCTTCGATCAAATGGAATAAGCTAACTGATATCTGAGTAATTTATTTTACTTTTTGCTGATGAAACATTCGATAACAGCAGGCTGATTATAGACTAGATACAAAAGGACGGGGTCCTTGTGTAGCGCTGGTCCATCTTAGGATGAAAAATTGTTTTGGGTTCGTAATAATGATACTAAAATCAAGACGCCCACGAACACAAATACATTCAGATTTCTAATATATAATGGAGATGATGATATTATCGTATCTAGAACAAGGGACGTAGGGCCATGTTCAGCGTAGATACCTTATAATGAGAAGTTTATTACAATTGGTTAATCATATTTACCTATCTATCTATTTATCTATGTATCTATCTGGATATCTATACATATCCATCTATATCCATCCATCTCTCCCTCTCTTTCTCCCTCCCCCCCCTCTCTCTCTCTCTATATATATATATATATATATAGAGAGAGAGAGA